TAAAGGGTCGTTTTCTAATTAAAAAAACATGTTGAAATTCTAAATATACAGACTGAAATAAATTTTTAAATACAATGGCAGAATGTTGAAAACTCATGAAAACTAATGTCCAAATGTTAAACTTTACCGTCTCGAAATTAAACTTAAAACATAAGAAATCAATTTCTCTAAAATAAATATGGCATTCATGTCGAGCCACCACCAGATCTCCAATTCATGTGAAAATATTAGACAGGAACGAGCATTTCAAAGAAATACTCAGTAAGCTTCATATGCTATATGAACATAATAATCATGCATCTAATAATGCATTCTTATATATTGCCTTATGAATAAGCAAATCAATGATCAAACAATCTACTTAAAGTTTTGATGAGCCTCTGCAACCATCAATTAAACATATAATATCTTAAAGTTCTAATGAGCCTCTACGACTATCAGTTAAACATATAATCTCTTAAAGTTCTGATGAGCCTCTCCGACCATCAGTTAAACATATAATTTAGTTCTAATGAGCCTCAACGACCATCAGTTAAATATATAATCTCTATGATATTGACATTTAAGAAGAACCATTAAATGTACTTCACATACTTCATGATCAAACATAATGAATAAAATGTATGAATGACAATTAAATTCATATAACGATCAACTTAGTATAGGAATCCTACCTTAATTTGTGGTGATAAGGCAGTGATTACGTCGCATGGAGCTCCTTTCTAAAATCTTAGACGTAAAATGTTTTTTGTCTAGCCTGTTATCTTTATATGTATTTTCAAATAGAAAGTCTTTGAGTGTATTTAGAGGGAAGCCATCTATCATCGAACGTTGGATGAAAATGGTTTTTCAAATGGTAGAATTTGAATAGGAATATGTTTCCTGATTTAGTATTAGGATAGGGCTTTAACAAATTTTAGGTTTGATTATAATTTTTTTTTAAAAAAAAGATACGTATCATTTAAATTAAAACCAAACACGTATAAGTTGGTCTTTGAAAATAGGGAAATGCTGGATGTACAGGTGGGGGTTCATCGACAACTCACATGAGGGGGGGGGGGGTAATGTAGTTTGAAATTCAGTGCGTGTCTATATAATGATATTGAAATTATGGTACTAAATTTATGCTTTGTATTGTTCTTTGAATGACTGCCAAGTATTGAAATGAACTGAGAAAATAACGCAAAAATGTCAAAGTATATTATTCATGAATGATGAGTTTGATATTAACATGAATATAGAAAATAGTCAAGTGCCCAAGTTAGTTACTGATCCCGGGTTCCTATACGTTTGCATGCTGTGTTCGTAACCACTTCCGATCGTCCTCATGTGACGAATGTACCATCATGTGAGATAACGAATCTCATACCATATCACATATCCGCATGTTATCAACGCAAATAAGATTAACTAACACAAATACCTAAAATAAACATGCTACCCGTAAGCAATATGGTCAATAGTAAACACAAAATGTTCCGTAGTTTCGCTAAATTTATAACGTAATTCTCGACATTTGAAACAATGTCAAGAATTATATGTAGGTC